CCTACCATTAGTATTAACGTAGCAACTGGACATCTGGTGGGCAGTGAGTGCATGACATAAGTTGGAGTGATGAATGCATTACCCCAAAAGAACAGAGGGCAGCAGAAACGGGAGGTCAGGATGTTTATTCCTTGTCTTTCTCATCGCCCACGCTGGCATGGCAGTCACTGTTTCTTTTGCCTGTGGCCACTGCTCCTGATAGGCATCCACTTTGCTATGGCTCCAGCTCCTGCTAGATTCTGGTAACTCTCCCCTGCTCTTGACCCTCAGACCTTGGAGCTACCACAGTTTCCCACATTAGAGAGACCTCAGATACTTCCTCACTCCTTGTTGGAGTGACTAACCCTGCTGACACCTCTAAAAAACCTTAATAAAACTTTCTTCAATTAATCTCTAATTTGATTGTCTACTGTTCTCTCTCTGTTAGGATCCTGTCTGCTGTAGGTCCTTCCCTCAAGTTGTTCACCAGACAGCTCAAGAAGCTGTGACTACTCAGGGTGAGCAGAACTGTGATGAAAATTCTGCGTTCTGGCTTACTGGGTTAGGAGTTCACCAACATAAATAAAAAAGAGAAGAATATAAAATGAAAGTTATCTCAACCACCAAAGCAAACAGGGGTTGCTGAGCTAAACCATTCTTTCAGCCTACATTTATTTATCTAGAACTATAGCAGGCAAGGAATTGTGTGGGGAATTGGGGAACTTAACAGGGGAGTATGAGATAAATTCAGTGGGATTAAAAAGTAATAAATGTAAATTAAGTGTAAACAAGAAGACTCAGAGTCACAACAGGGATATAATTACTCTCTCTAATAATCCCTCAGTCTATGAAGTGGTTTGTAAGCTAGAAGCTGATTTACATACTGAGTAACAGACCATTTTCTGTACGTTTTCTTTCATTCCTAAAGCGGTTCTGAGACATGCATGACAAAAGTGTGTTTTCTGTAAGTTGAACAGCTGGTCGGTCATTGCAGGTGCCTCCCTCAAGCACAAAGTTTTCCACTGTGGCTTCATTTTCCCTGACTATTGAGAAAGAGAAACCAATAAGGCAGCTGAAAAAGTGTCCCAAGGCACATGCTAACCAGTTATTTCTTATTCTCCTCCTGCCTTAACTATGAACTAGCTCATAACTTTTTGGCTTAGCTAGATGCTGCCATCTGCAGCCCTTTTCTAGGTTGTGAAGAGGAAACTGGTTCTCATGGAATTAAGAGCCTTTCACTCACACATTTATTTCAGAAATGCTACTGGACATCTAGTCAGTCTCTCTGCTGGCCATTGGAGATAAATGATGGAACAAACACATAAGTGGAATAATGCAATGTAACATGCTGCACACAATGAGAAAATGATACCTGGGGTGTGGAGAGGCCACAGAGGGACACTGAGATCAGAAATCTTCTGAGGAATAAGGCTAACTGAATCCTAAAGAATGAGTGGGAATTTGTTGAGAGAAGGGGTCATGATGAGAGAATATTCTAGGAAAAGGAATATCAAGAGAGAAAGTAAGGAAGAAAAAGAGACCCAAGTATGGTGGGTGCAGGGGGAATGCAAGCATTTTAGTGTTGCCTGAGTTTAGTAGGGGGGGAGGGTGCAGGGGACATTGGGAGGCCAGCTGACCTGTCACAAAGGGCTTTCAATTTATGGTCATACCCTGGAGAAAAGGAGAAGCACTTGAATGATTTTTAAGTTGAGTAACATGATCAGATTTGCCTTCAAGATGCCTTAGCTGGGGACTGAGGAGGACATAAGTCTGAGGGAAACAGGACAGGAGCAGGGTACATGGAATTTCCAAAGTTCTTTTGGAAGAAAGTAATAGGATAGCAAAACCTTTCTTTAAGTACTGGAAATTTTCTAAAGAATAGGTAAAATTTAGTTAGTCATATAGATTATGTTTTTGGTGAGTACTGAGTAAACTTAAATTTAAAACTCAGTAACTTTAAATAGAAGAATGTTACTAAGCATGTCTCCAATGGATGATAAAGTAGTTAAGTCCATGGCATTTAGACCCTGAATCCTTTGTCTGGGTTTTCAGGGGAAGTAAGACAATAAAGGATAAATCCCCTTCTTCTTAAGGAAAAGGAAGCAATAAGAAAGATTTCCTGTTCTGATGGAAAGGAGGAGACCACATCAATAAGACCTGAGCCACAGAGTGCACCTGTGCTTGGCATTAATCCATCCCAGGGAGTGTTCAAATCCTCTCACTCCCACAAGAAGAGGGATCCAAACAAAGCTGGTCCACAGTGCATGCATCATTCTTTGTCCATCCTGCACATTACACATCCTGTCCATGCCAGGATCCTGAGGTACCCTGCCCTAAGGCCTGAGGTGAGAGAATGGGGTTCCAGGAAGTTAGTGCTTCTTTTACTTTGCTCTAGAAAGGCTTTTCAGCATTGTATTTTTTTTAATTAAAGAATTTTATTGTTCACACTATTGCGGATGTTTCAATTTTCCCCCTTTCTCTCCCCATTTCTGCACTAAAAAAAAAATAGAAGTAGAGAGTGCTAAATTTGGGCACTCCTGTGGAAGGGCTTTGAGGATTTGGATGAGCTAGTCCAAAGTCAGTGCACAATAAGCAGGGACATGTGCTAGATGCTTCTTGCAGAATTTGGGCAGGAGATGAGGTCACAGACCAGGAAAGACCATGCTAGCAGGGAAGAGAGAGAGGGAATTGATCTTTCATGTTTAAGAGGTAAATCCAAGAGGTCTTGATGACTGAGTAAACGTGGAAACTTGTGCAGAGGAGGAATCCAGCATAACAGCTTTCCAGTTTCAGTAGGTGTGGGGGAGGGGGGTGGCCCACAAGCTAAAATGGAGAACCCAGGAAGCAGACCAGCTGTGGAGGCAATGAAGGGAGAGTTACCTATGGAGCATGTAGGTGGTTATTCCCAGTAGTTGGAAAGTTAATTCATATGGATAAGATCAAAATGCCAAGCTAGTCTCAGAGCACAGTGGTAGAGCATGGACTCTGGAGTATTTCCATAGTGTAAATTTTGAAAAATAGAACAACAATATTTTTTAAAGGTGGTCTCCTATGTTAAAGGTGGTAGGGAGATGTCAGCCAATGATAAGGTGTTGCCCCTTTTAGAGACTCTCACTATTGCTGCAAACATTACCTAAAGCACTGATGTCAGAGGAATATGATTCATCTCCTCTATAACGATCTTTAGTCTGGTAGCCAGGGGATAATTGAGCCTCTGAAATAGACCTTCAGTTTGGGGTCTTAGCCCAATTTCTCCATTTTACCCTTTGTACAATAAGAGGAAATAACTTCTATAAAATGAGATAATTCTAATGATTTGGTGACATAATAAAATAACTGGAAGAAAGAGCTGAGACTTATATCTTTAGTAAGATAAACCTCAAAATATGGGAAAATTAGGTTTGAGAAAAAGTAACAGATGATACAATGATAATTTTTTAAAGTTTATGATGGACAATAGACCAAACTAGATTATAATTCTTCAATACCAGTCTTCCTAGAAGTGGGTAGGGATGAGATAGGGCCTCCTGATTGTGCTAGAGCTAAAGCCTGGGAGCTTAGTTAGTCCTCTCTCTCTTTCTGAGTTAGTCCTTGAAGAAGCTGACTCACTTGAGAGTTTCTCTTATCCAAGTGCTTTCTAGGACTTTGGTGGCTTCCTAGAGAGAGCAAGTGTCTATCATTCTGATTTGCCGGAATGAAAAGTCTAGCACAGATGTTTTGCAAAGTATGGGTCTCTTACTTTGCAAAAATAAATCGTAAGTGCTTTAGCACCTTTATTCTTAGGGAGATACACCTCAGTCTTCTTTTCCAAAGTAAAAAGAAATTGAATTCATGAATATTCAATACCCTTCATTCTAATTAGAGTCTTTGAAAGTTAGAGTTGGATGGGACCTCAGAAAACCTTCAGAGTTTTTTTAAAAAATATTTATTGATTTTTTTTTTAGAGAAGGGAAGGGAGGGAGAAAGAGAGAGCAAGAAACATCAATTGGTTGTCTCTCTTAAATGCCTCAATGGGACCCAACATGCAACCTAGGCAAATGTCCTGACTGGGAATCAAACAGGCAACCTTTCATTTTGCCAGACAAAGCCCAGCCAGATGATCCACACTCGTCAGGGCAGGTGCTGAGAGTTTTAAATGCAAGCCTTCTGAATCAGGCCACCATATTATGCTTTGGACTAAAATTGTAATACACAATCAGAATACAATATTAACACTTTTCTTATGGTAGGAAAATTTGTCTAACAAAAGGCTTTGTTGAATGAATAGTACTACATTTGAGGCATGCCAGATAGTTAGATAAGCATATGATTCTCTTATGAGGTCTCCATTAGCTAATTATTACAGAGGAATATAAAAAATCCTATATAGAGAAGAGCGAGGAACAAGAAAGGACACACTGGTGGAAGGAGTTTTGCAGAGTGGAGTTGAGGTTTTGGGGAAAGCGCATTCCTGGGAAAGCTCTGTAGTATGTTTCTTCCTCTGGGTATAAATCATTTCATATCAATCACAGTGATAACTATGTTCTTTTGTGTTCTTTTCTGGACAAGGGTCTGAGCAAGCTGATTGAGACAGATATATGTAAAAAAATATCCCTAAGGTTATTAGCACTTTCCAGCTTCATAAACCTAAACAATTTTATTAACGTTTTGAGGCAAATATGCTAGCCTTTTTACAATTCCCAGTAGGAGATGGTGATCTTTTCCAAAATACTGGCCTTTGGGCACATGGTTCCTTCAACTGGGAGAATTGTGCCCCCTCTCTTCACCGGATCTGCCCCAGCTCATCCTTCCGATATGAGCTACATTGACCTTCTCATAGTGGCCTTCCAAGTCAGAGAAAGCTGAAAACTCCTTTCTTTTTTCTTCTATCACAATACCTTGATCCTTCCCCATTTGACATGTCATAAATTTAAGTGATATATTTATATACAGGGGAGGGCAAAAGTAGGTTTCCAGTTGTGATACAAATAAATAAAATAATAATTAACAAATAATAATACAAGAATAAACTGTGTTTTACGTACTCACAACTGGAAACCTACTTTTGCCCATCCCTGTGTTTGTTTACTGTCTTATAAAATGTGTGTGTCTCTCAGAACCCTGTATGCTCTGTAAGGGCATAGACCCTCTCAGTCTGATTCACCACTGTGAGCCAGGTGTTTACCTAATTCAGTGCTTGGTCCAAAGTTGAAATGGAAAACAAAAATGCCAAATGAATGAATGCCTTTCACACATGATTTAAGTGATTAAATTCTAGATTATATTTTAAACAAGAAGTTAGATATTTTGTTTAATATTACCCTAGCTCTTTCTTGCTCATTTATCCTTTGATTTAATATCCAAGAACTCTGTTTGAAACTCTTCATGGCTTCCTTGACTAAAAATAAAATGTACACTAAGTTATCAGTTCCCAATCTCTCCTTAGAATCAATGTTTTCAGATGACTTGAAAAACTTAATAGGCAGGTTTCCCTGGGAAGATGCTAAAGTACTTTCTGTTCACTATTTGGCCATGACAAACACAGAAGTGAGAAATGATTTCACAAAGTTTCACAATACTTATTAAATTTATAACATTGTGACATATGTGACATTTATAAAAATAGAATTTACAGGAAGCACTAGGCATAAAGTAGAGCTCATTTCAAAAACTGTGATCTGAAAATATAAATGTTTATTTCTTCTTGGATTTATTTCTTTTGATATAACTGTATCTGTATATAACTTTAGATATCTTTACTTGTTTTTTTGAAATTTGAGATAACAGACATAAACATTAATTTACTTTAAATATTTTTCTAGTAAATATTTTTTGCAAGGCAGCTTTTCTGTCATTAATTAAACCCTAGTGTCCTAGGGTCCTAACTATACATGTTGCTAACAGAAAAGGGAAATGTCTCTCAATGATTCTTAGGTGGAGACCATATACATATAAATATATATATTTATGTATACATTTACATATACATTATTTATATATGATTTATATATATTTATAATCTGTGACTCTTTAAAGTGTTTTGGAGATTGCCATAGCTAACTTAGCTGATGTTGAAGGTAATTTACAGAAGAATTTCATATACTTTTCAGCTATTTGAGCTATTTTTAAAAATAAGCCTAGACTAATCCTAGATTTAACAAACTAGCAAAGCAAAAATAACTTTTACCTATAGTGTTCAAGTCGCTTTTTATTGGGAAATAATTACTGTGCAAAATGGCTCATAATTACCTGGATATTTTGCAATCTACCAAGGCAGGACTGCCCAAGCTATATTACATCCTTCTATCAAAATCACCAATTTCTGCTACACTTAACTTTACTTGTTTTCTTATAGGGTATTTCGTAAGTTTTCAGATGCTTTAATACTTTATCCATAGCCAATAAGAGTTCAGTAACAATTGAAATTGTTCTCTTTGAACTAAATAAATCACCACAAAACATTTTGTAAAGTACTTAAATTTAAAACATTTGTAACATGTTATATATAGACAGATATGCCAGCTATACCAAACTGAGAAAACTTTTAAAAGGAGTCATTGCTTAGTAAACAGGCACTAAAGGGCTTATAATTCTACTTATTGAATTGAACATTAAAAATATATTACAATTTGATTCTAGCTAGCTGCATTTTGATATTCAAGTGGTATTATGAAAGGCATGTTGTCTGAAATACTAACATAGGCTGGCGAATGGTTTCATTCACCCTAATAGTATGGGTTTTCAGTTTCATCTAGTTATATAATGATGGATGGTTCTTAAAGTTAACACTTAAGATTATAGAACTTCCCTAAATTCTTCCCTAATCTAATCAACTTGTGCCTTGCAAAGAGTTAATTTTAAAACCGAACTTAATTTATAACGAACTTTTAAAAAATTGCATTTGAATAAAAAGAGGAATGTTTGTAATTTGTTAAAGACCATGTGAAAAATGCATTACTATAGCAATTACATATACCATATCTTTACATGTTAAATCCACTCTAAGAGGTGGCAGATAATTAAAACTCTTTTTAAAAAATTCCTATTCTAGCTTAAAAATGCAAGTGTATATATATACACTTTTTGATATATATATATAAAAGTGTATATATATACACTTTTTTTGATATATATATATATATCAAAATATGTAATTATAGCCTTGGAAAATGTTAATTTAAAATTTTAACATGGTTGACCCACACCCCCTGCTAATTCCCAGCTGTTCACAACACTCTAAATATTTAGTAAATTTTCTAATTCTTTTATTATTTATTATTTTTATTGATTGATTTTAGAGAGAGAGGAAGGGAGAGAAGGGAGAGAGGAGAGAGAGATAGATACATGGATTTGTTGTTCCACTTATTCATTCATTCATTAGTTGATTCATTGTGCCCTGATGATCCTGGATCAAACACACAACCTTGGTGTATCAGGATGGCATTCTAACCAAATGAGCTACCTGGTCAGGGCTCTAAGTATTTATTTCATAAGATTCTATATCTTCATCAAACCACTGTTCCTGTTTGTGTTTATGAAGCAGCTCCATGGTCTCAGCTCAGGGACATGTGAAAGGGAAGCTCCAGGTCACCTCACAACACAGACCTCCTGCCACTTAGAATCTCAAAACGTCAGGACAGTTCGAATGCTGAAATGTAAAATGATCATATTTAGTGATTTGGCCCACACATTCCAAACAAGAACAGTTTAAACAATTATCCGTCCTATCTGTTAGAGGAAACTTCAGGTAAATTCTGTTCTTGGAAACCCTTCTGGCCCTGAGGGCCACACCAATTAATTTTCCTTCTCATGAGTCTCTGATAAGGGCATCTGAGATGATTCTTGAAGCCTCAACATAACTGCACCAGGTCGACAAAGGCTGAAGAGAAAGTATGCATAAGGCTGGGAAGGTGTGAACAGGAAAGGTAATCCACTGTGCTTAGACTTCTGGATGCCTAGGAGATTGTGGAAATAGGAGAGACCTACACCCTGGCTCCATCCCCACAGCCTGGTACTGAGGCTGCAGTCCAGTGGGTGCTAAGTTCTCAGCTGTGGATGACTGGCTATGTTAACAAATGAATAGTGAAGGCTTTCAAAACCAGGCGAAGACATTGACGTTTTGGGTAACTTGAGTTTTAGCAGCTTAATGAAGGCCTGAGCACTATGGTAAAACACAGAAGGCAGGAGATCTTTCTGTATTAACACGCCCAGCAGAGAGGTGATTGGACTGAACTATGTAATGCTCTGGGCAATGGAGGAGGCAAGGGAGGAGACCCTGGGAGTTACGTCCTTCGGGCTCAGCATCAGTTTCCATGTGTTGGGCAAGAGTGAAGGAGTCAAACATGATGCTCTGTCTGTAAAAGCAGAAATGTGACATTATTTGCTGAGATAACAGGTACTGGTGGAAGAATTATTTGGGGTCAAGCTGATGCAAGCATAGCACTCAAGTGAAGCTATGTAGGAAGCAGTTGGAAATGAAGTGCTTAGGTTTACAAGTATAAAGGTCAGTTTGTGATACTGGGCGCAAAACTTCTGAGAGCAGACTTTGTGTCTTTGGGCATTAGTTAGTAACTCTTGTGAAACTGGCCACATTAAGCAATTTGTTTTGCCTAACTGAGTAAAGGCTATTTTGATAGTTTAATCCATTGTTTTCTTGCTTAAAAGGAGTTTGAGTGTATGTTTATAATACAATGACCTGGTAGTCAGGACCAGATGTAGAAAGACCAGACAACATTGAAAAAGCACTCAGGGGAAAATTTAGTGAGAATTTGGATCTCAGGTCAAAAGCTGCTTTTGCTAATGAAACCCAAATCTTTGGCACATAGCAGGTATTCAATAAATATCTACAGACCCCAGTGAGTAAAATTTCATGTCATCTTTGTAGAAGGCTCTCTGATTGCTCTTCTAGATGTCATAGTTGACATTTGTATGAATTTTTCATATTCTACATCTACCCTTGCCCCACCCTCAGAAGCAACAAGAGTAGTGACAAGAATGCCCTTGTTTGCTGGGCTTGGTCAGAGGAATTTGGAGTCTGGTGAGAAGAGCACAGACTTTGCATTGATTTTGCATCCTTGTGCTGCCTCTACAAGGTCTAGCAAGTTATTGATTTGTTTTTCACAGTCTCAGTTTGTTCAACTGCAAATGGTAGAAATAACATGTGACCTTTAAGGATTGCAAGAAAACACATTTAAAAAAGCACTTGGACACTGTATAGAAAATTTTGTGGTATTTTTTGAAGAAGTTAGCATCTTTATGATGAAATAAAAATAGCTATAATGAAATCAACCCAGTGTAGAGAACCAAGGTCCAGATTTTTAAAAATTGGTTAATATAGGACAATGATATAGTAAGTCTTAAAAAAGTAATCAGCTATACCAATCTTGCAAGGGTAAAAAATCAGAAGCAGGAGGGTAATGGGGGCATGTGTAATAGTATCAACAATAAAAAATCAGAAATAAAATACAAGAGAAATGGTTACATTTATAAGTATCAAAATTTAAAAGTAGCCTGTGTAATGAAGACAAGATCACCATAAAGAGCCAAGCACCTTTGGCCTGAATAGAGCAGTTCAAATCCTTCCTGGATTTTTTTGAAAGGTAAACCATGGGTTATCAACTGGTCCAGGTCAAATTTCCCTGCCAGGAAGTCAGTCACTATTTTTGGAACATCATCTCTACTTTTCCAACCTGTAAATAAGCACATTATTTTCTCTTTAGATTTTATTAAACAATATTTATATTTTATTATATTTGTATCTTCCCTCTTTTGCATTTTTACCTTTCCCCTATGTTGAACTCTTCTCAACATCACACAAATAGGCTGTTCTTCCCTCTTAAGAATCTATTCTCAATCACACACCAATACCTTATTCTCCCAAAGGCCAAAAAAAACACAAATGAAAAACCTTTCAAGACCCCATATCTCCTTCTAGTCAATTCAAATTTCTGTTGCTTTTTTATGAGTAACTTCTTTATTTTAGAGAAAAAAGTCATCTCTGGTTCATTGCTTCCAGTTCCACTGCCCACCCTGCCATTCTCGCTTGCGTCCCCTGGGCATCTGCAGCTGCAGCTCTCCTCAAGGTCACTGTGACAGGGAGGAGGCTCAGTGGGAGGTTGAAGCTTGTTCTCTTTCCACATCATTATCTGGGGCACAAAATGAGAGGCTACTTGGTACATAGGTGGTTCTTTAGGGCTGGCTCCTTAGAGGAAAGAAGACTTGAACTGACAGAGATATAAGTTGAGACACCTCACTTTGACTGCGTGATGTGGGGAGATTACAAATTATCAGGATATTAAAAATACAACTCAGTTAATCAGTGAATATCTATTGGGTGTACACTAGTACCAGGCAGCAAGCTGGGAATATAGCAAAGTAAAACATACCAGGCCCCTGCCAGCAGGAAGCATGGGGACCCTCTCACTTTACTACAGAGACTGACATGAACAACCCAATGCAGAGGACTTTGTCCAGTGATGGCACAAGGAGAAAACATAAAGGAAATGAGCTAGGCAGGAATCTTGGGAAAGAACATTTCCAGGAGAGAGCAGAGTAAATGTGAAGGCATTGAGGTGGAGAGTTGGCATGTGAGAAGGACACGGAGGGCAGTGTGGCTGGAGCAGAGTGAGAACAGAAGAGGAGCAGCAGCTGGGGTCAGGGGCCAGATCCATGAGACTCTGGCCATTGAGTATTTGGGGATTTTATTCTGAATAGGAAAAGAAGCCATTAGAGCAGCGATTTGCAAACTTTTTTCTATCATGGCACACATAAACTAATTACTAAAATTCTGCAGCACACCCAAAAATACCTATTTAAAATATATATATATAGGTATAATTTTGACAGATTTACAAGAAAATATATTAATAGTAATTATCTACCCTTTTGCTCTAAAGTCATTTTGAAAAAAGTCAGGTGCCTATACATGTATATAAGATTTCTGGTACCAAGAAAAATAACCCAATCAGATGCAACCTCATTATGCCACATGACCAATAAAAGCCAACTCTGTTATATGACACTTGTTGTTGTGTTGGCTGTTGTCATTTTTCTGACAATGTAAGGGAAAAGAAGTCAGTGCCTCTGACTACGTAGTCAGGCATTGCATGTTTTAAAAATTTGTACAGCACACCAGCGTGCCACACACACTGGCTGAAAATCATTGCATCAGAGAATTTTGAGAGAGGTGTGACCCGATCTTACCTCTTCTGAAACAGTCACATTCAAGTTGCTCTGTGGGGAATGTTCTATGTAGGGGACAAGAGCAAGTGCAGGGAGGCCATTTAAGAAGTTACTGTGACAAAGGAAGGAGCTGATGTTGGCCTGGACAAGTGATGGTGAGAAATGGTCAGGTCCGGAGTAAACTTTGAAGATAAAGCCAACAGGATTTTCTGAACTACTCACTGCATGAGACAAAGAGTGCAATCCAAGGTTTGGGGCCTGACCAACAGGAATGATGGAGCTGTCACTTACTGAGATGGGAACACTGCTGGAGGAGTAGGTTGGGGGCTGGGGTGGGGGTGGTGGCAGGCAGAGAGGTTTGGGGCAGGTTAGGCTTGTGCGTTTATCAACTATGCAAGTGGATATGTCAGGTGGGCAATTGGGTATATGAGTCTGTAGCTCAGGTGGAGGTCTAGGCAGAAGATGCAAACTTAAAGCCATGAGACCAGAGGAGATTACCTTGGAAGTACATGTAAGTAAGGAAAAGTTCTGAGGACTGAGCCCTAGGACACACAAAAGTTGGAGATCTGAAGATGTGGAGTCTCCAGCAAATATTCCTGGAAGGAGTGACAACTGAAGTGCAATGAACAAATTTTCATATATGTTTTGTACATATTGAGAAAGTGGACTTACTCAGCACTTCCTGTCCCCTAATATCATTCCCACAGAGAGATTTCTGGTCCCTATCATTCAAGTCTTGGAGAAACTTGAGTTGCAAGTGCTACAATTAAAAACATGCCCACCAATATTAGCCCTAACTCAAGGTGAGGAAGGATGGGCAATCATCTTTTGTATCATTGGGGTCACAGTCTCAGGTTAGATCACTTCATACCAATCCTTGGAACAAAGAACTTTAAGAGAGGTATGATGAGACAAATGGCTTCTCTCACTTTTGAAAGCAACAGTTAAGGCAGCCCTCCTGGGCCAGAGGCTCTGCTGCACCTACCTCCAAAAATACACCCCTTCCATGTGCGTCCAGTGAAGAGCAGCATAGGGTCATAGGTGAGCATTTTGGTTGCTGGAGGAGCACCCACCACCACACTGGTCCCATAGTTTGAGTGGCAGGAAGCAAGGGCATCAACCTAAGTTTAAAATGAAGGAAGCTGTTTGTTCCTTCTGTCTCATAATATCTCATGGGCTCGTAAGTGCCTATATACTCTCACAATCCTAGTAGTTAGTTCAAGTTTCCAAGTCATGAGGTTAAATAAGGCCCATACATCTTTTGTTTTCTGCTTGTGTCATAAAATTCTCAAGACAACTCTAGTCTTAATTTAGCCTTTCATACATTTGTGCTTTAAGGCAGATGGCAGAAATTCTTGTGATTAGTGTCCATGGAATTTTCATTGTGTTATGGGTTAAAGCAGAGGGGAAATTCCTGTGATATTTTCATATCAGTATCACCCTTTCAGATAAGCCTTGGAAAGTCATCTGATCTAAACTAAATTGAATTAACTATACTGATTCAATTAGCTTATTTTTTAAGTTTACTGTGAAAATAAAATACTAAAATGTGAGTTGAAGAAGTCTTTGGGATTTTTTTTAGATTAACCCCACATTTTCTGGTCATTTGCCAGTCTGGCTCTTCATTCATAACTTTTGAATAGTTGCTAGATTGTAGCAATGGATGATGACATTTATCAGACATTAGTGTTCATCAATATATTACCTGGAAGTCAACAGGCACTAACAATATATCTAATATTGCATGTTGGCTCTGTAAACATACAACCTAGAATGCTATTTGTTGGTATGGAGTAATTCTAGGTCTCACTAGGAAAGGACTATGACAACAATGGTAAATTAAAGACTAATTGTTCATAAATTATGAATGGTAATAAAGTGAATCAAAGCTCCTACTCTGTCATGAGCAGGATTGGCTTTGTCTCACATTTCCAAGTCTCCTTTCCCTCCCCAGGCTGGGGCTCCCTCATCCAGAAGCTCTGCACCTGTTTCTACATGGAGGCTGGTGCTGCTGGCTGCCACAGTGGAGCCATGTTTGAGAAGTGGAAGGCTCCTACTCCAAGGGAATTCAGACAAAACAGAACTCAGGTGTAAAGAGTGAGAAGTTGGCTACATCATGGATTTGGGGGAAGAGACTGCCAATTTGGAATAGTCTCTTTCCCACCTGGATGTCCTTATTTCTCTTCAGGAAGTTACTTTGTGCTGTTTGGCTTGCTGAAGTATAATAGATGGGATCACCTTTGCCAATAAAATCCCATATACACACAAGGAACTGAACACAAAAAAATTGTTTAGATGGTTGATTACTTTGAACACTGATCACATGGGAGTGGTGTGATGTGACACTTTGGTCACTCAGACCTGCTCACTCAGAACTGCTCATAAGCTTTTGACTTTTTCAGCAAAATTGCTTCATGATTGTCAGTTTTCACCTAAGGGTTATTTCCCTAGTTATTTGTTAATAAAGCTATGGAAAATGAGTTTTACCTTGTGTGATTAAACAGCTTGTGTATTGTGTGGTGCCCTAATCTTGTTTCTTACCATCGTATCAAGACGCCCAACAACTTCAAAACTGAAGCCCACGTTGTTGCCTGTCATTTCTGACAGCACTTCATTGATGGGCTTGGTAAAGTCCTTGGGGCTGATGCACTCCGTGGCCCCTACAGCCACGGCCTTCTCAAATTTGCCTTTGTTGAGGTCAATTCCGATGATCCTGGAAGCACCAGCCGACTTACAGCCCATGATGACTGAAAGGCCAACTCCTCCCAGGCCAAAGACAGCACAGATGGAACCCGGGGTGACCTGTGGAGAGAAAAGTTTTGCAAATGCTAGCAGCACGATAAAAATTTAAATCTATAAAGTATCTTCAATATTAGGAACACAAAATTCAGAGGATGTTAGAATTGGATCATTTATTCTGATGATAATGCCACAAAGAGGACTACAAATGGAACATCTGACAACAGCAAAGGAACAAACGTAGTATTTGCTAAGTAAATAAGAAAAATTTCTTTATAAAAGGGTCCATCATATAAAAGGCCTTTGTAAAGGGAATTTTTGCAGCCTTCCAACTTTATCTAATCTCACAGCAGGATTAAATAAGCATAAAGATCTCTGTTATTTTTTCTTCTCCACAAAGCTATGATAAATCTGTTTGAGATTCTGGTCTGACTAGCATTTTCTTGATAAACGTAACTCTGAGTTATTTTTTAAAAATTGGTTTGTCATCAAAGCCCACCCTCTATGTTTTAATTAGATGATCCATATGTAGCTCCAGGAAGGAAATGTAGTTAAATCATTTTGGATATTTTTACCCTGTACTATTCTATATTACAGGAGGGTCTAGCCAAAAGTAATTTTCCTCCTAGGGGAACCCTAAACATCAGGTAGCAGGAGACCCAAATACAGGAAACCCCACAGAATGGGTACAGCACTCATTGTGATACTTTCTTCCTCCTTCTTTCCTTTCCCTCTCTCCCTTCTTCCTTCCTTCCTTCCTTCCTTCCTTCCTTCCTTCCTTCCTTCCTTCTCCACTCCACCTTCCTCTCCCTCTTTCTTCCCTCTTCTTTTTTTTTGGCATTATCTTCTCTTGCAGAAATTATCTAAAGAAGTAACTTGTGTGTGTATATGTATGCATGTATTTTGAAATGTTTGCACCTATAAGTAGAGATTTATAGAGAACTACTGGGGTGTTGTACTCACTCTCTACGAGTTTTAATTTCAGATATGGCATCCTAATCTTTCAATTTCATTCCTGAATTTGGAGCTTTGAAATCAGTGCAGTCATTCTCTCAAGTATCATTCGGTCATTTATTCATCCATTCAACAAACTTTATTAATGGATTCCTTGATGGTCAACATTTTACAATTTTACACCAGAAACTAAACAAGACATTCTAAGCCTTTTTTTTCCAGTTTATCTACTAGCTTAATTGTCTAGATTTGAGATGGAATCGTTTGTTGATGGTTGAATTTCAGGTTCTAGTTTTAGGTACAGAAATTTATGATTCTAGATTTGTTTGCTAGGAACTCATTCAGCCTCCCTTACTAAATCCCTAGTAAGCCTTAGACTCTGGTAGCCCTGGAGTACAATCTTTCTGATCATTAAGGAATTGTAGCACTAAACACTTCTCCCTAGGTCCTTGATTCTTGACTTTCTTGTCACCTGCCTCTGAACCTTTAAGGGGATTGTGGCCCCAATGTCTGGTAACTTTAGATTGTTCCCTCTACTTCCCACTTAAAAAAAAAAAAACAACAGCAACAACAAACCAACAACTTCTCTCCCTTTTCCAACTTTCCTGTTCTAAAGAATGGGAACTGAAGATTAACATCTATAGTAAATTATCACATGATTACTATGGATGAAAACAATTGTTTAAAATAAAAGTGTTAAATATAGGTTATTTTAAAATATTTTTTAATTTAAAGTATAGAAAGTTTCTGCTTTTTGCTATTGTTTTTCTTCCCTGTTCTGATCCCCTTAGTGTTCTTTAATAATGGTCTCTGTGTCACCTTTCCAGAGGTCTTCAGGAATGGCCCCAATTGGCTCCTGGGGGCTAACTTTGGACTCTTTGGAACATCCTGCCTGATGTGAGTGTCTTTGTGTACCTGAGACCTGTGCCATGCCAGACAGTTTATGCAAACACTGGTTTATGGTGAATGAAAGCCTGGGGTTTTGAGCCATCAGCTTGACCTCTGGTGGTGCAGGGGTCTGAGTAGCTGAGGTCAGTCATGGGAGTGCTGCATGCCTGCATCCCCCAAAAGAAACCCTGACACCAAGACTTGAGTGAATTTCCCTGGTTGATCAATGTGTGTTGTCACACATTGTTCGTGGGAGAGTTAAGCTCTGTACTTGGGACACCACTGGGAGAAGACAACTACAAGCTTGCATCTGGTGTTTAGTGGACTCTGTCCTATGTGCCTTTTTCTTTGCTGGTTTCAACCTGTACCCTTTCTCTGTAGTAACCTGAAACCATGCGTGTAATAACTTCTGAGTTATGTAAATTCTTCTTGTGAGTCATTGAACTAAAGGAGGATTTGGAAGACTCCCAGCACACCCTCATATTAAACTTATATAAGTTTGACCTATTTTCAAATAGGCAAAGGCAAGAATGTATGTCCCTTTAATTGATTTGCCTTAAGGTACAGCTTCTAAGAAAAAAATATACCTAAGGTAAAGAATGTATTGGTTAATAGTATACTACTCAAGTACTAATGTGGTATTAATATATCAAATACTATATAAAAGTTATAAGTACTAATGTAAAACTATATCCAATGTCTCTTCTTTCACCTCTATCTTGGTAGGAAATTCTTTAGAAATTTTTTCAGAAAAATTCTTAAGTAAAACTTCAAGGAGACCCTTGGGAAGAAATGTTCCATCTCCAAGATTTTCCAAAGAAATTTAGAAGCAAGTGGAAACTAAAATATTCCATTGATATGTGCATGCCTGTCAATGTTATACATTCATAGACCTCAGAATCCATGTCTGGGAAAAACTACCTCCCTGGAGTTTATCATCTAATAAGTAAGATGAAAGATGTAATGAGACTCTGATACTTGGGACACACCCTATTCATGAACAACCTTCTCTTGAATGATGGGAAGAAGTTTCTGCTTAGATAGAATAGACATAAAAATAAGAACTTCTCTGAGCAAACAGGTGACTGTAAACTGAGAGTGATGTTAAGAAATCAACCACAGGAGGGCTCATGAGAAGAGTGTGCAGACAATCAAAATAGCATGTGTAGATACCTTCATGCATAAGCAGCTCAGCAGGCTTGCAGATGTTGAAACAAGTAAATGTGGTATGAGATGAGATTGTTCCAAGTATGAACTACTGAAGGATTTTTGGGTAAAACTAATGTGGTCCAGTTTATGTTTTATGAAATTACATTGGCTTATAAATGGAAAATTATTGGAGATGGTCAAGAAGAGTAATGAGGACAACAGAAGGGAGGCCATGGCATGTGTCCAAACAAGATAGAATGATGAGACTTCTGGCCAAGATGGAGGCATAGGTAGACACACTGTACCTCCTTGAACAAGCAAAATAAGGACAACAACAATTTAGAAACAAAATAACAACTAGAACTGATAGAAAATTGAACTGTATGGAAGTCCGACAACCAAGGAGTTAAAATATACACATTCATCCAGACAGGTAGGAGGGGCAGAGTCAGAGGCCAAGCAGAGAGGGGTCACAGCAAAAAAAGTGGTGGCTTGCAGACCCTGGGTGCACAAGGCAGCAGCTGATGGACCCCTTGTGCACAAGAACCCCGGGCATCCAAGATGACAGCGAGCTGACCCTGGGTGCTCAGGTGGCAGCTGACAGACCCCTGGCATGGGGTGGCAGTGGGAAGATCCAGCAAGGTGGCGATTGTGGAGCGGGGGTGCGGCATGCTGACCTGGCAGTTCCACATTCATGCGTGCAGATAAACCAGGTGAAAATGGGGAGTGAGACAGACGGCGCAACCCTGGGCTCCAGTGCAGGGAAATAAAGCCTCAAAACACCGATTGAAAACATCTGTGGGGTTGAGGTGCCAGGAAAGACTCCCAGCCTCACAGGAGAGTTCATCGGAGAGACCCACAGGGTCCTAGAACATACACAAGCCCATCCACACAGGAATCAGCACCAGAAGGGCCCATTTGCTTGAGGGAAGCTGTGGAAGGGACTGAAATCCAGCAGAGAGCAAAAAAGCACCACTGTTCTCTCTCGGACCCCTACCCCACATACACCATCATAACCCAGCAACTGGGTTGCTGCACCCTGGGGAACACTTAAGGCTCCACCCTTCACTACATAACAGGCATGTCAAGATCCCCCCCCCCCAAAAGGCCCAACTGGAAGAACAGATCAAAGCTCCAGAACAAATACAGCTAAGTGACGAAGAGATAGCCAACCTATCAGATGCACAGTTCAAAGCACTGGTGATCAGGATGCTCACAGAATTGGTTGGATTTGCTCACAAATTAGGTGAAAAAATGAAGGCTATGCTAAGTGAAATGAAAGAAAATGCACAGGGAACCAATAGTGATGGGAAGGAAACTGGGACTCAGATCAATGGAGTGGACCAGAAGGAAAAAAGAAACAACCAAACGCAAAAGAATGAAGAAATAAGAATTCAAAAAAATGACGAAAGGCTTATGACGAATGACCTCCAGAACATCTTTAAACATTCCAACATCCGAATTATAGAGGTACCAGAAGGGGAAGAGGAAGAGCAACAAGTGGAAAACTTATTTGAACAAATAATAAAGGAGAACTTCTCCAATCTGGCAAGGGAAATAGACTTTCAGGAAGTCCGGGAAGCTCAGAGAGTCCCAAAGGAGTTGGACCCAAGGAGAAACACACCAAGACACATCATAATTACATGAGCCAAGATAAAAATAAAGGAGATAATCCTAGAAGCAGCAAGAGATAAGGAGACAGTAACCTACAAAGGAGTTCCCATCAGACTGTCAGCTGATTTCTCAAAAGACACCTTATAGGCAAGAAGGGGCTGGAAAGAAGTATTGCAAGTCATAAAAGGCAAGGACCTACATCCCAGATTGCTCTATCCAGCAAAGCTGTCATTTAGAATGGAAGGGCAGATAAAGTGCTTCTCAGATAAGGTCAAGTTAAAGGAGTTCATCATCACCAAGCCATCATTATATGAAATGTTAAAGGGACTTATCTAAGAAAAAGAAGATAAAAAACATGTATAGTAAAATGACAGCAAACTCACAGTTATTAACAACCACACCTAAAACAAAAACAAACTGAGCAAACAACTAGAAGAGGAACAGAACCACAGAAATGGAGATCACATGAAGGGTTAGCAACAGGGGAGTGGGAGGAGGAGAGGGGGGAAAAGGTACAGAGAATAAGTAGTATAGATGGTAGATAGAAAATAGACAGGGGAGGGCAAGAATAGTATGGGAAATGTAGAAACTAAAGAATTTACGACACATGGACTTGAACTAAAGAGGGGGATTGTGGGTGGGAGAGGGTATACAGGGTGGAGGGGAATGAAGTGGGGGAAATGGGACAACAGTACTAGCATAATCAATAAAATATTATTTTAAAAAAGATACAATGATGATAATACATTGAAGAAGATGGAGAAATTTACAATATGCCTTGTACATAGAGTTAATAGGACTTGCTCTTGGATTTCATCAAAGGTGGAGAGGAAAGAAAAATAATGAAGAACGTTGGAATGGGCAATATATATTTTAGGGGCAGGGAATAAGAAAGGTAAGAATTCAATTTTATACCTATTCAGTTTGAAATACTTCTGAGACATCCATACAGAGGTGTCAGATAGGGATTTGGATCAAAGAATTTGGAGAGAGTTTGAGTTATTTGGAATCAATTAACATACATAGTTTTTCTAAAGACTTTGGAGTTGATGAGAACACCACAGTAAGGGAGTTGCCTGGATTGCTTGAGGGAATGGCTGGTGTATTATGAATTATACATTATTCTACTTTCCTCTTGTACTTATTAAGAGTAACATAAATTGAGTCCAAATATGCATTCTTAAAACCTCATTTGTATACAGAAAAGATAATAAACTGGAATTTTATTTTGCTGAGTTGTTCTAAAAGATAAAAAAAATACTTCATTCATATGTTCATATTATATACCAGCTATTATGAATGGAATTGTGTTCCTTGCAAATTCATACATTGAAGTCTTAACCCCAGTACCTCAGAATGTGATCTTATTTGGACACAGGGTCTGTGCAGGATTAACCAAGTTAAAATAAGCTCATTAAGGTGGGTCATAATCCAATATGACTTCTCCCTTCTAAAAAGGGAAAATTTAGATGCAAAGACTGGCAGAGCTGAAGAATGACATGGAGAGCTGCCTGGAACACATCCTTCACTCACAGCCCTCAAAAACACCAGTCCTGCCAGCATCTTGATTCCAGTCTCCAGAATGTGAGACAATACATTACTGTTTAAGCCACTCAGTTTGTGGTACTTCACTATGACAGACCTAGCAAACTAACAAACCAGCATTGATACTTATTTTGTGTAAGAAAAAAGATAAGTTTCAGAATCTAAATTTTAAAATTTAGAAGTCAACCTAAAGGAAATGTAGAGAAAACAAAATTAAATATAAAAATCTTATTTTCACTTATTTAGAAGTAAAATGTCTAATTTGAATTTTTAATTTTATTTTCAGTTGGTTTGACATTGTGTAGAAATAGCCTGAATATTAAGTGTTTTCAAAAATCTTTAGGATTCAAAAAAATCATTAAAAAGAGGAAGAAACTAGCCCATCCACCTTCTTACCTTGCCAGTTTTAATAGCAGCTCCATATCCCGTGGAAAACCCACATCCAATTAAACAGACTTTCTCAAGAGGAGCCGCGTCATCAATCTTAGCAACAGCAAATTCATTCACCACCGTGTACTCAGTAAACGTACTGGTGTTAGCAAAGTGGTACACTGTTTTGCCCTTGCATGTAAATCTGCTAGTGCCATCATCCAGTACTCCACGACCAGCAAGGCTATTTGATACATCAAATACACATGTCATTAATTCAATTCAAAATTAACACAGGAACAATTTAAATGGAATTAGAATAAAAATTATTGAAACCTACTCAGTCTTAATGCAAAGGTTTCCATCTGGGTTGCGGCAAGCATTGCATTCTCTACACTGAGGCAGAAAGAGGGGGATGACTTTATCACCTAGAGGAAAACCATCATGATATAAGATGTTGGTCTTTAACATTAAAATATGAAATAAACGAATGTGAATTAGTCCATGCCACATGCAAGTATTTTAAAGTTTATAAGCATCATAAGATTTGCTTGCTAAAGGCTGACACTGCCAAATTAAACTTCACTCTGATGGGAGGGAAGTGGGGAGGGTTGGGGGGGCTGGATTGGGACTAAAAGGGAGAAAACTGTATTTGAACAATGATTAAAATAAAATTAAAAAATAAATAAATAAAAATAAAAATGAGGAGAGTCTAAAAAAAACTTCACTCTGTATCATACATTCATTCTCCTTGTATCCTTTTATTTTTCTAAATTGTGTTAAGGTTCTGTCTAATAATCTCTAGTTGTGCTGTTTCCTTTGATGGGATAAACAGACCCTACTTATCTCAGACTCTGACTTGACATGTGCACACCTGGTTTCACTGTAGTCACTCCATCTCCAATGCTCTCCACAACCCCAGCTGCTTCGTGTCCCACAATCACGGGAAACCTAGTCAACATTAATCCTTTAATCACATGATCATCTGTGCGACAGATTCCTGTGGCCAAAATCTGTGGTCAAAAACAAGAACATTGCATTAACCAGCACACTGGTCACTTCACAGTTGGGAGGATAGTTAACTCGCTCTTGAAAAAAATATAATTATTTATTCATTGTGATTGCCTAATATATAATTGTGTTGACTCACAGAAGACTCTGAGCCTAATACCAACCATCATTCATGATCCCTCTCATCAAGGGATTTACAATGTTGCTGCCTCTGGCCCTCCTGTGAATCTCAGTGCCTGTCCATAATAAACCAGTGCTCTTGTGAGGGGTGCAGATGTTACTACGTGGACAACATGTTAGTAGATTTTTTATAGCCAGACCTTCCTAAAACTCTCTTAATGAAAGGTAAAGGGAGTGGTGTGCACAAACATAAGTGCAGAGCAAAATCTTACTGTTACTACAGCACACAGGTAACAGGAGGTGGACAAAGAAGAACTGGCAGCAACACCTATTCAACAAGCTGGTAACCAAACCAGTGGTTAGGCTGTGTCCAAAGGATTCGGGGAAGCACTCCAGGAAGCAGTCATTTCTTGAGGCACAAATGAGTTTCTCATTCTTTGGGAAAGGTAATCTCAATACTATCTGACTTCCAGTCATTAGTTACAATTACTAACCATTTTACAAAAAATCAGAATCATGTCAATACAAATTCAACAAATAAAAGTTTTAGTAGAGCTGATTAGTGCCATCATTTTAATGAATAATTGCCAATTTAACCAATAAACAAGAACCAGTAAGAGAATTAATATACAAAATTTGAGAAACCTTCTTTAAGAATCCATCCTCACAACAATGATATACTCAATATTGGTGTGATAACATGTTAGGTTTATGTAATCTAAGGCTCATTACCTTAATACGAACTTCTTTCGCCTTTGGTGGGGCAACTTCTATTTCCTCAATGGAAAGGGGATTATTCGGCTCCCATAACACAGCTGCCTTGCATTTAATAACCTAAGAAATTGGTGAGAGTTACAATGGGTTATAATTATGTCTTCACAAATACAGATTCCACAAATAATAAAAATATGGACAAAAGCTTTTATATAACATTCTAATTTGACCAGGATGGTTTTCACTGAAGACTAGAATTGTAATCTTTAGAGATCATCTTGTGTGCACCCGTGTTTGGTATATGAGAAACGTGGCCCAAAAGATTAATCCAAGGCCACGTGATGCCTGAGGAGCAGGGCTGGACTAGACCTGAGCCACAACCCTTTGCTTTTTTTGCTGTGGTCACATAATATTTCACTGAATTAGGTTCTTGTACTACATTTCAAGTTAACAAAACTGTCATCTTTGTATCACTTATCCACAAGGGCAAATTTATAAAACCGAAGATGCTGCTGATTTTTCTACAAGAATTTAAGCCCATATTTAAGTGCTGTATAATCATACAGCAGCCGGGAAGGCATTAAAAGTTAGCATGGTAGGGATGAAGGGAACCACAAACATCATGAAGTACATAGACTGGGAGTTCCTAGATGACTCAGTCTGAGTTTTGCATCTCTGTACCCCTATTTTGCACCTAACACAGTTTTTGCATCTCATTGGGTCTTAAATGCTTAAAGCAAAAAATGGCAAAACTAAACATTTTTGATACATATAATGCTTAATTAAATTTATAAGGAAAGCATAAAGACATCCATCCATTCCTACTACTCCTGCCCTTCCACACACCACACTCACACCCAGAGATTCATGCAAAGGATGTAAATAGGAAAATGCAACAAATTAATAAATATATAATGCAGTATTTTCTCCTCAGTTATAAAAAGGTTTTTTGTTAATAGAAATAATAAAATATAATTCTAAGTCCATAATAACTTTTTTGTTTAACAAGAACACACAGTGCTGTAGAGGGGGCGGCAAATGGGTAATTCATTAATATTGACACCTTTTTCTTTGTCGTAGATGATCATATTTTCTTTTTGGTAACTTTACTGAGATATATTTGACAAACAAAAACCTTTGATATATGTAAGGACTATACATTGTTGTTATATGTATCACCACAATCAAGCTAAATAACTTATCCATCATCTCTACATAGTTACTAGGGCATGTGTATGTGTGTTGTGTTGTGTGTGTGTTGAGAAGGTGTAACATCCATCCTTTTCAGAAAATTTCAACTATTCCATGAAATGTTGTTAACTATCATCACCGTGTTGTACACTACAACACCAGAACTCATTCATCTTGCATAACCAAAGCTTTGTACCCTACTTAAGAATATCTACAAAGAGTAGACTGGTGGATACCAGAGGGGAGTGGGGTTTGGGGGTACTAGATGAAAAAGGTGAAGGGATTAAGAAGTGCATATTTAGCCCTGGCTGGTGTGGCTCAGTGGATTGAGCTTGGGCTGCGAACCAGGCATCGCAGGTTCGATTCCCAGTCAGGGCACATGCTTGGGTTGCAGGCCATGGCCCCCAGCAACCTCACATTGATGTTTCCCTCTCTCTCTCTCTCTTTAAAAAAAAAAAGAAGTACATATTTGTAGTTACAAAATAGTCTTGGGCTTATAAAGTATAGCATAGGGAATATAGTTAGTAATGTTACAGTGACTGTGTGTGGGGCCAGGCAGGGGCTGGAAGGTGTGGAGTGGAGGAAAGCTTGGTGAGTATGTGATTGTTCGGCCACTGTGCTGTATCCATGAAACCAGCCTGTGATAATGTTCAAGGTGGACTGTAACTGCAAAAAAAACATTAGAATTTCTGCTATACCAAGTCAAGTCAAAGACAATGACAATGGTCACATCATTTCCTGACAGAGTACTTCACTCTTTAATTGATCTATAAAGTGCAGTTTTTAGAATTTATCAATACCAGTTTCACTCATAAATTAAACTATCTAAAGTTTAAACAGAGGACTATCTTGACCACTCACCCTATAATTTTATTTTTAAAATCTACCTTAAAAATGCTAACTTCAGAAAAATCTTAATATATTTAGAGATTAATACAGCACTACTTATGAAAGGAAATATATAATCAGTCTGTGTAAACACACATGTAAGAAATAATAGAAAAATGATGAAATAAATTGTGATAAATCTAGAAACTAGAGTTACAAATTTAAAACATGTTTACAAATTTAAGTAGGAAAAGTAGGATAAAAATATTTATAGTGTGAGTATGACTACATAAAATATAGGTGAAAACATGTAAGAAGGGAAAGACAAACAAAAATGATGGTGGTTTTTAGGATGTAAGGGTATGGTTGATTTTTTTCCCTCATATTTGCCAATTGTTTCAATTTGCTAGGATGATTATTGTTATAGGCTGGATTGTATTATCCAACGTTCATATGCTGAAGTTCTGACCCCCAGTACCTTGGAATGTCTCTGTATTTGGAAACAGAGTCTTTTAAGAGATAATTAAGTTAAAATGAGGCTATTAGGGTGAGCCTTAATCTGATATGACCCATATCTGTATAAGGACACAGGCATGTGTAGAGAAGACCATGTGAAAACAGAAAGAAGATGGTCATTTACAAGACAAGGAGAGAGGCCTCAGAAGAAACCAACCTTGCTGACACCTTGAGCTCAGATGTTAGCTTGCAGAACTGTGTGAGAAAATAAACTTCTGCCGTTTAAACCACCCAGTCTGTGGTACATTGTTAAGGCGGCCCTAGCAAACATTTACTATAAAAAGGGGAAAAAGTAATCCCCAATGAAAAGGGAGCCCCTGTTCTCACGAGCTACACTGAAACACCAGAGCAACTTGGGCTATACATAACCCTTATGCAAACCACACTATTGCATAACTATCTCAATATCAAAATTATTCAAGTTTTATGCTATACCTTAAATTTTACATTGTATTATTAATTATAATTAGAAAGTGTTTCCTTGAGCCTACTGAGTTCTCTGGCATTGGAAATATTCTAACAATGGTTAGATATCTACTTTGTAGAACTTGAGCATCTGTTGGCTGGATGGAGTTACAAATTTTTAAGATACCTTTCAACCATAAAATCCATTAGCTTCTGTGGGTGGAGTTGCTAGCTTCTAGAGCACAACATCAATTCCCCAATTAATCTAGTTTTGCTGGATTCCTGACCCAAACTAGAATGTTCTTATTCTATTTCTACACAATTACAGGAACAAAGATTTCTAATTCTAACATTATAGAGTATTCTCACTCATCACATTACCCAGACTTCAAAGGTATCTTCGTTGTTTTACAAACCTTAATGTAAGCTAAAGATGAAGTTGTTTAAATTAAAACAAACAAAACAAACAAAAGCACTTAACACTATAAAAAATTGTCTACATTTAAAACAAGGAGCTGGCAAATGAAGAGAAAATGCCAAAGCTATTTCTAAAGTCATTGTCAGCTCTGTTTCTTAAATAAGAAATGAACTTTACTACAATATATTCTTGTTTTTAACTTATTTTTTGATAAAACCAATATCTTTATCAAGCATAATACTTTGTTGTCTACTTTGAATTCCAGAATTAGCATTTTCCCATAATTAACAGCAGGAAAATCTTTTCGCAACAGCTGGGAATGAGCCCGGCCTCCCAATGAACTAGAGGTGAATGCAACGCATGTAAATGAGACTGTTGAAAGTCTCCTTATGGAAACATTTTGCTTCCCAGAGCAAATGCCTAACTATCCTGCAATCAAGTTACTACTAATGTCAGTATAAACCACATTTCTCCATTTCCCATCAATGTCTTACTGAAAAACTTTCCAGATACTCTTTTCATTGGCACCCTGATAGGCTCTCTCCAGTGTCTCCTCCACAGGCACTTAATTCCTCAAATAATATCCCCAAGTACTCAACTAATTTTATGTGTTCAAAGTTCTAAAAGTCAAAGCCACAATATTAAATCAAGATCATGAGGTTACAGAAATGTTCTGCTTACTTTTCCAGCAGTGCCCATCCTGTCTTACTCCTGGTTCTGTAGTTCAGTAAACAGATTTTTTTCTCATTGAAGTTCAGCTCACTCTGCTGTAAATAGCAGCATCTTATACCCTCAGATAAACAGCCAAAAGGTCCGCCTTCAACAATATGACTCACTGCCTCCAGGACTTTGTGGTGGTATATGAGCCTCACCCTTTGCAGAGCAAGTCATGAAAATAAATACAGAAACTTATGATGAAACCAATGGCAGAGATCTAACAAGGACAGAATAGTCAAACCTATTGAAAAGGGCTGAAAGCATTCTTATCTTCCTTATATTTGGGGATATAGAAACAAGTCAGGTTAGTTGAGTTCAACATAACACATGAAAAATGTTTTGTGTGCTTCTTCAGCTGCTCTGCTCAACACAGCTGATTATAGGGATGTGCTCGTCTGTCTGTATTTGTGCTCTACTTCATCCTGCAAAAACTCGATATAGTTTGTGAAAAACATATAATAAAACATAAATGGCAATAGGGCCAAGGATGTGTAATCTAATTAGAATAGAAGGTGCAGGTTGGGAAAGGAGAACTGGGGGTACATAAGACACAAGATGTGTACAACCATGATTTCTAGGTGTCTGGGGGATAGAAAGGGATGGAAAACTTGTTCCCCCTGCACATGGACAAAGTACAATCTGGATACAAACCCCCGTTATACACAGAGTTGTCTCATTTGATTGTATAGTGTGTGCACAGAGGGTGCATAATGAAGGCAGGAAGAAATCTGAAATGCAGTCTGCTTACTAGCTCTCAGAGGCCAAAGGGATTTCACTTACTTGGGCAAGTGCTCAAAAGCACTTCTGAAGTACCTGACACGAATTTCCTGAATTTACTGCCAGGATTGATGTGGAGTGTCCAAGACAGATTTTATTAACTGTAGTATTTGCAGCACACTGCCACACTCACCTCCAGGTAAATTCATTCTACGCGAAGATGCTTTTACGCTGTGGACTGAAAGGGTTGGGCAGGTGTTCCACATCTACACACAATGGTGTTTAGACTATGGAATATTCTTCAGGCAACAGCTATGAACAGAAATTTGTTCTGAAAAACTGTTGTAAGTTTTACCACAAAGATCTCTCTCAATGTAATATAGTAAGTGTAGTAGGTCCAATTTAACATATATTTCTGCCTAATTCAGAGCTGGCAATTAGAATTAGTTCTGCTTAGTCATAGCCAGATTAAAAGCACTAGGTGAAAGTACTGCCAGTCCGTGAGGCTTGAGTGTGAACCACTGTTTTAGCTGCAAACACTGATGAAGTCAGGCCCATTTTATTCTGAGTCCCAACCTTTAAACCAAAGAAACCAATCTTTATCTCAGTGATGAAAAGTTGTTTACTTTCAGACAAGGGCAAAAGAGTACCAACATAGTCAGTGCCAGAACAAACACAAAAACACTCATTTGGTGAACTCCCTCTTAAGATCTTGGCACAACCTTTTAGCACGTTAATATAAAAAAAGTTTTACAAAAAATAGTGTTAGTGAGATTTCATATCTGTATAATCCTTATGAGCCTAATCCATTGTGTTGCGACCCTCCAAGGCTGGTCCGGTCCATGGTACTCATGCAGACAGAAAATATCCACGGAACCACCGGGTTGTCTGGAATGCCTTTATTCATGGGTGGGCAAGGCACACACGCTGTAAGCTGCGTGTGCATCTGCATGTCTCATGTCTTGGCCCTTGCTTTCCAGTGTGGCACCCATCTTGGCACCTGTCCCCTTATGTGTCTCTCATCATCATCATCCCCAGCAGGGAGTCCCTATTCATTTAAATATCAGAGGGGAACAAAGCCAGCAAGATGCCAGAAATTACATAACATAATTCTGTGCATGCGAGTCCACTTCATGTTGTAGGGACAGTTTATTGGACCCAGTTTCAAGGCTATGAGAATGCTACTTATTAGGCCCCTTCAAGGCTGTGGGAACACTGTTTCCCTCAGCTACCCAGACACCTGGGTGAGGAATCCAGATTGCCTTTACTTACCCTACATCCCTTCTCAGGGAGAATTGCTTGGGTGATATAAATGCCAAAAGCTGCAACTTGTAAGGTAACCTATTTTTAAAAAGTTGAGCTAAAAAAGTTCACTGTTGTGTTGGATAATAAAGCATGTCAGTCCTAATTTTAGGTTTGCAGAAATTGCCAGCTGACTCCCTCTTGTAAACCTGTTCACAGCGTTTCCATGAAATTCTGGGGTCAAATCTCCCAGGGTACTGAATTTCCTAAAGCTGTGAGCCTGGTGCCTCTCCAAAAGTTTCCAAAAGTCTCCAAAGAAACATGCAAATCTCAAAGTATCCATGGAACTCTAATTTTCTCAGGACAGAATACACCACGAAGGACTTTGAGAAGTATGATGCAGGAGTAAGGGCTGTGGTGTCAGATACACCTGGTTCAGGACCTGGAACATGCATGCCCTCAGCTGCCACATTTGTAAAATGGGAATAATAATCAGTACGTTGTATGTGTGTCCTGGGGATCAAGGTGAAGCACTTCCTATACGGCCTGGTTCAGCAGCAAATAAGATTATGATTAACTTGGTTCCCACTGGTAACTAAATGTTTAGATTTTTAAAATATTTAAAATATAGCTACTGGGGGCAAAATGGCCTGGAGTCCAGGCTCAGTGGAACTGTCTTAGAGAAATCAATAATGCAGTACCAGAGCCTCCAGGATTTTCTAAGAACTTGAGGCTAAGAATCTTCTGTACCTGCAGGTGCTACCAGAAATTCAGGTGGAATCAAAGGAGCACAGTAGAATTCACATGTGTGTTTGCCCTGGACTGAGGGTGTTCCCAGGATGCAGGAAAGTCAGTGCTAAACCCAGGAGAGTCCAAGCAAATGGAAACTGTCATCTTATGCACGCTCTGCTTCCCCTGAAGTCCATGAGTGTGTGTGATCCACAGAGTCATGTCAGCTTTGAGTGCCAGGCCTCCTGTTCACAGCCCTGATCCTTCACCCTCAGTAACAGCCTTCCATCATGGACACCAACTAGGACTCTGTTGGCCCCGGGCTTCAGGATGACAGCAGGGAAGAGAGATGGTCACTGGAGTCAGAAGAACTAGGTGAAACGTCAGCTCCAGAAGTGACCAGGAAGAGCTAGTGGCAACACACTAAGTGCTCCAAACTTCACAACTTCAAGGCTTGTCATGAGCCTAAGGGAGGTCATGTGTGCCAACCTGCTTATTACACTGTCACATGGTCAGAAAACAAAAATACAATAAGTTGTATCTCCAAGACTGAGTGAGTAAGAAAAGGGCCTTTGTGTCACAAGAAAATGAACCTTAGTTTATTGCTGAATCATTCTTAGTAGCAGAAATAGTTATGCAACTGTAATACTAAAGAACATTCAACTGCTAGTCACCCAGGATAACCATAAACACTACTGTTGTTCTGCCTCAGCCAAAGCCAAACATTCAGGGTGAGGTTGCATCCTGGCCTTTGTTCCCACAGTTTTCTCACTCCAACACTGCAGCTCAGCTGGTTGCAAGGTGAAACCCGTCCTTTGATCCTTGAGCTCTGCCAAGCCCCATGAGGGTGAGGCCTTTCTGAAAAGAAGGAATGGGGTAGGGTTTCTGCAGCTCTGCCCTGACAGATTTTTCTAATCCTTCAGGCTCCCTGCACCAGCTTTCAGAACTGCTGTGTGTGAGATTATGCTGGGCAGTTTCAGAAAATTTTCTTGTGCACACACACCCTGCCCATGAAGAGAATCCAAAGCAGATTTTTCCTATGTCAGAGAACTTCATCTCTGCTTTTGTGAACTCTCCATTGTGTTCAGCCCACCCCCTGAGTATGCTGGCTGATGAGAGTTTCCATTAAAGGAGATCAGAATTGTGGAAAAATATAAATCCCAGTTGTTTTGTTCCCCTCATGACCTCCCTGAATATTCACAGAAAATAAGTCAAGGCAGCAGGGCTGGCTGTTGGTTCTTCATTTCAGAGAGGAGCCTCGAGGCTCTTCCTTGCAGAGGTCAGGCCACAAATAGGCACAACAGCTGGGAGTGTGGCTAACGACTGGAAAGCAGAGGCCTTGGGAAGAAGGCAGACATGGCTCTGGAAGGCACTGCGTGTCTCACACAAGTTGTGATCTGTTCTCTTTTGGCATCTATTTCCAGAGCCCCCCTCAGTGCTCGTCTCAGTAGAACATAGAAACTCCAGAAGGTCAGCTCAAAGTGGCTGCAGACCACATATCTACTGCAGTGGAGTTAGAGGGCACTTGCAGAAGTCCCTGGGGCAGCAGCAGTGTGGTGGGTCAGGGAAGGCCTGTGTACAACCAAATGTGCAACCAAAGTTCACACTTTGTGGGAAATGCCACCAGCATCTGCTACCCTTTTAAGATTGCTACTGTACCCTTTATCACTTTTTTTGTTTTATTATGAGGGTCAGATATAGCATATTTAAGCGTTGGCTTATTTTTTCCAGTTTTTCTTAGAGGACATAGTTGCAGCACTTTCTCACTTCTATAAGTCACCTAAAAAAATGAAAATGTGTGAGCGTAAAACACAGAGTGCCTCTAAGTGATAACAGTGAAATGAAGAGTTCAATTGAACTCTGAGATGAAGAAGTGGGTCCCTGTCTATAGTAAATACGGGGCTCCTCAGCCAAACCCACTCAGGGGCGAAGAGCCCTGGGTGTTATTGAAGACCTGTGGTCAGGCTGAACTGTGGCCTTGCTTTTCTTTCCTGGTCCTAGGAATGAAGTTACATGACAGGATAGAGCTGTATGACAGTGCTCACAGAGGACAGGACCTGGGATTGAATAATGTGGGAAAGCTAGTGGCTAAATTGAGGTCTGAGTTATAATCCTGTAGGAAATGACTAAACTGAGAACATGTGTGTGATTTGTACTTGATTACTTCAACAAACAACTTCTGATTTTTAAAAAGGTTTAATTATGCTTGAAATATAGTGAATTTATTTTCTGAATTAAAATTGTCTAATAAAATATTTGGTTTTGATGTTGTTGATATCACCTTCTTTCATATTTGAGACCTCATTTTGTATACGTAATGTGAACACTCAAATGTTTGTGAAACATTTCAGTGCTTTATGGAAAAAGTGGAACAGAATATTTTATATCAGAACATATTTGAAAATCAGAGTTATGATCAAATTTATGCCA